GAAGGGATGAGCTCGTGCGGCGAACCCTAAATCAGCGGCTGGAATAGCCAGGTTTCTTATTGAGTCGGCGCACTTCGCTCTCGGGTCTGACATATGATTATTATTACAAGACTATGAATATAACTTAACAACGATCATAACCGATTATGCACCGAGAGGTGACGATCACTTAACCATTATAAGACGCGTTTTACACGTTAAAAACGGAAACATATTCAGTATAAGAACGAATAATTCTGTTAATACAATTGTTATATACAAATTCGGATACTGGTCTTTATACAACAAATCTTCCCTACTATACAATTGGAACATAAAGTCTATAACACCTAATAATGTATAAGTAATTCATTATAACCTTTATTTCATAGATGCATAAGGTGTATTAAGCACCTTCCAGTTAAACTCATTGAATAAGGAGTATGGAGATGATTGCTTTTTTTTTAATAAAAGTTGTATATTGGTTATGAAAGTTTTAATATGCGCTATACACATTATTCTAGATAAACAGTTTAATAAGCCCATTTCTTTCAGTGTAGAAAAACCGCAGAAAGTAAACTACTCTCTGTTCCAATGTTTTATCTAAAATGTCCCCTTATTGTATTCTTCTTCAACAAGCTTTTTTCACACCGATGCGACCAAATTTAACAAATAAACTTAGTCAAAATTTTTACAAAACTCGCTTCTATATACTGTTTCCCAAAATGGTGGAACAAAATTCATATTTTTTCCGGTTCACTTTTATTAAATGATCGACATTAATTAAGAGTCGGTACGTTTTTAAAGAAGAGACTATGATTGTTTGAAATAGTCATCAGTACGACATAAAAAACGATTTTTTTCATTTTTTGTGACAACTAGGACAAAAAAGTATAACCTTATATCGTTGAATTCGTATTTAATGTCGGTAATGTTATAGGTCTGTCAAACCTGGCTCAAAAAATATAAAATTTTGCCAGAAAAGTGACAATTGACCTGTTTCAGCAATTTTTTTAAATTTCAACTGGAAGAAAGTGTGAATTTTGTTCCATAATGTGGAGACACAGCTATTACTTCTCTTAAACACTGAGATTTGATTCCGACTAGTAGTAAAATACCATAAATTAACTTTATATCCCGGTTCGGTTACAGCCAGTTTTCAATGATTTGCTATGCAAACTACAAAATGATTACTATTTGCATCGTTTAATGACACGAATAACTCGATAGTTACAAAAGCAAAACGACAAATTAACAGTTATCGAAATAGCGTAAGTACGAGTTACGGTAATTATAATAAATGTAGTTGTGCTGATAACTAATTTTATTACCATGTCCTGGTTTAAATTGAATAACACGATCACATTCTATTATATGATTTGCAATGGTGTCTTTTTAATGTGGAAGACTTATAAATACGGAGTACGGAGAGTGTGTAGATGAGACTGTGCGCAACTTATGTGGAATTTTCGGTTGCAGGAATTACTTACTTTTACATTAATAGGAAGAAATCAACGGCTTAGACTTTTTGACATTGTAAAAAAAAAGTAGTAGGTTAAGTCCTCCGGTTGGTGTCTACATTTAATGTACGTAATTGTTTATGACATTCCTATATTTTAAAGAGCTTTTACTTCAAACCGTACAACAGGATAGAATGGACCAGTAGACCTAGAAAATTTAAATATTGACCAAAAACTTAATTTCTAGTTTCAAAGTCTGAAGGAGAGAATGATATGTCGAAACGTCAAGGTGCTCCGTCTACCTACTTGTTTTTATAACCTTTACTAGAGATCAAGTTCAGTGACACACTTACTAGAGATAGTACAACATTGTTTCAAAACAGTGTAATAAATATTTAGCGACAGCTTAACAGTGCTTGAAACATTACGTCTAAGGAGTGCGCTTTTTATTTTGCCTTGTTATTGTGCTTATTAATCTAAGTAATGAGTAATGATTTACTTTAAGTCTTACGGTTAATACGTCGTGTAAGTTTATGTTACACATTCTTGTTTTTAGATGCTATTAGCAGATACACGCTGACTGTCAATCACGCGAAAATTAATTTTCCTCAGTTTCGTTAATCATTCTAAAACAGTGTAGTAATTTTTAACTTACGTTTATCAAATCGTTGCTCTTTACCACTGGACACGTCGCGGCATTTTTTTTTCAGATTTAAAAATGGTATTTACAAGCAGCAGCTTCATTTCTGTTTACATTTCGGTTTGAGGGCTATTACCCATTCAGCCAACCGTAGTGGGTTATGAGCCAATAAATTTAAATTATTCCTTACTCAGAAAAAGCTGGACATTAACGATAATCATCTGAATATTTACAATCCTGAAACGACCGTTAAGGCCATTGTGGAAGTATGAATTATGTGCTTATTATTTCCACTAATGAGGTATACTTAGAAAAAAAATAATAAGCGAGTTTATGTTTCTTAGATTTTCAAAATAACAGTTCGTATAAATATATTTTTATGAATTGAACAAAAATGTAAATGTACGTTTCAACAGACGGAATAAACTCAAAAATTTTTGTATTAAGGTTATTAACAACGTATTGATTTAATCAAATGTTTAGTCGAACCAAATATTTCGGGTGTTAGGAAAGCATGTAATAACATTTTAATGGAACATTCTGTTTGTTTTTGTAGCAAACTGTGATATTATCTGTAGTTTTTTAAGTGGCTATGCTTTTCTAAATATATTGTACTAAAGTGACCTTAATTTTGTTGTTCTTTAAAATCAATTGGAAATATTATACTATACCAGGTGTCCCAGAATATGTGGTCAATCTCTCGGATTTTACATAAACAGGTCCCTAACGGACGCCCATGAAAATCGATTTATTTTTTTAAATAACTTTTAAAATAATTTTATTTTTTGATTGACCCATGAAAACAATTTGACTTGCGTAAATATGGACATCAATAGGAAAAATTATCAATATTATACATTTTTTAAAAAAACAGGCGTTCAAATGCTTAAAAGGAATCGACTCTTACAGCTGCAGTACTGGGTATTTTTAATGTTTGACTTAATTTTTCTTAGTTTCTAATTCACATTTCATTTCATATTTTGCACACTTTGCCCTAAACAATTTATTTTTTTAAACCGTTTTCGTCGTAATGCACATTTTCCTTTATATATTTTTAAATCATCCACTAATTCTTCAGTTTGGCTTTTCGCTATGCAAGAGTATTTCGGAAGAATGTCGACGTAAAGCAGAATTATCCCTGGATATTTAAAAAAATTATTTGAATTTGTTTAAATTAGTTTATTACATTCTTATTAAAGTAAACAAAGCAAGAGCTAATATTAAAAAATATGTATCTGTAAAGAAGCATTTTTTATTTCTGCGTGTGTAGAATGATTTTACTACCCGTTTCTAAAAATAGACAGAAGCGCACCCCTTTCGCAGGATTACTACAGAGACAAATGAGCAACTTGATTTCCTGAATGAATACATTTCTACGATGGAACATCATTTCCCTAAAACGTCTCCCTCCCTTTGAAGTTCAGTGTAAGTCCCTTTCTTGTACGCTAATATGAAATATATCAGCTGGTTTACATTTGATTCGATTTTTTACTCTCCTGTAGTTCTGTCGCATCGTTATCCGCATTTTGTTTTCAATAAAATATCAGTCAACTCATCCGTCCAAATCACTTGGATATCTGTTTTAGAAAATCTGTATCTGTTTGTACATAATACGAACATATTTAAATATTTAAATATAGAACCGTATAAAAATAGTACGTTTATTTTTTAAACCATATAAAGTGTCCCAGTGTAAACAAAAACACGTGTTGGTTGTTGGTTGAAAAATAACTGCTGCTCTTATCAATTATTTTAAGATTATTCAAATGATTAAATTGACTTTTTCAGAATTTCAGTGTGTATACTTCTTTAGGATATATAAAACCATGTGACATTTATTATGATCTAACATCAGGGGAGGCTTTGGAAGCTCATCCTGAAAGTTATCACTTTCTAACTTTTGCGCACATAATATTTTTACAGCCTGAAGTAGGCTTTCTAATTTGGCGATCAATTTTAAATAAAAAATTTATTTTTCGTTCGTAGTCGTAAAGTAGACCATTTTCAATAAAAATAGGGTAAATCTTCTGGAAAAATACCTCAATTTCTTGCTAAATATCAAATCTCATATCGCAATGCGAAATAAAAGATGAAAGTTTTGAACAATTGATTAATTATTCACAAGGACATATCTACAGAATAAATAATATTTAACATAAAAACATGGTATTCGTTTCTATTGTTCCATTAAAAAAATTAAGTTATATTTCAGAACTAACGGCTTCAAATACAAATAATTACAATTTGTCTTTCGAACATATAAATTTTGTAATAACAGAAAGGTATGATATTATTGATATGATAAAATCTACGGAGAATCCATCTTAACTGTAACACTGTATATATTTTCCTTTTTTTTTTTGTCTTTCGTAATGGGGTGCGGAGTGTTGACAGTCCATATTTTTAACCCATTTATTTAAAAATGGGTTTACGTAAATGATTGCTGCTGATAAGATCCGGGCCGTCTCGAGTTTCCCGAGTACAATCCAGTTTCTCCACGTAATTTTAGCCAGCTGAAAACTCGATAAATTGGAGAACGCTTCGCTTGTTGCCGTCTAAGCACTAAAGTTGATTTTAAGGAGTCAATTTAAGAGCAGGAAGTCTACCGTACATTTTTTATAAGAGGAAGCGTTAAAATACTCTTAAGAAAAATGTTAAGAGTTCCGAAAGGGACATTCTCACGTTTCATTGTTAATTAGACGATACAAATATTTTAGTACCTATCACTTTTTCGATACGTACCTAAACATAAATGATTTTTTATTTATTTTAAATATTCAGTTACCATTTTCCGATGCATACCTAATTAAAATTATTGGAGTTGTTTCTAGAAGTCTCCCTCACTATACAAGTCTATACAAATACATCAAATCATCTTATAAATGGGCACAATTATATAAAGAAATGTTTTATATCCTTACCTTTGTCTACACCTACATCAGTACTTGATTTAGTCAGGCTTATCTTTAGCTATTAAAGATTAATCATGGAAGAAACTTAAAAGATTAATCCTTACGGATTTGGCATCAGACCTTGATTATAATACCTAACCACCCATACAGAATGATATTTAATCAGTATAAACGCACAAATCACACTTACGCATTGAAAAATTTCTAAATGCGCAAAAATGCTATAGATTACGCTGAAACAGAAAAACTACTGAACCGTAGTTAATATCTACATGCATATTGTATGATTTGGAATTTGAACCGTATAGGTACTTAGTTCTGGTCAAGGAGACTTACAATAATACATTATTCGCTTTCATACGATAATGTACTTGGATATCCATTTATTTTTTGTCAAGGCTGTGCACCAAATGATACTTTAATGCATTATTTTGATTATATAATTCATTAGAAATTTAGCCAATAGCAATTACAAATTTTACGTAGTTACTATGTATTGATAAGCGATTATACTCTTGACGACGTGGTATAACCGTTTTGGTGTTTAGCCTCCTCCAACAATGTGAACGATGTCATGGTAACGATAGTTTTAACATTCGTCAATAAACGTCAAAAAAAAAAAATGGAACTAGTAACCAATAAAGTTAGTTAATTCATTATGTAATCGTATCGAATACCACTCGAGCAAACGAAAATATTCGATTATACTAACCTCCTCACTCGACGTATATCCTTAAAACACCACTCCAGCTACGCTGTCGTGGTGTTTCGCAGAATACGTCTCGTGACTCGGTATAATTAAGTATAATCGAATATTTTCTATGCTCTTGTGATATTATAACTGATTATGAAAAGTATATCTTTATAGAAACTGATATGGTGAAATATTCTAAGAACACAAATTATAATCTACTTTTATAAAGATATTCTACCATGTCTAGGTTGCAGGAGTACCACAAGGATCAGTTCTTTGCCTAGTTCTTTACTTAATTTATGCTAATAATTTATTCTGTTGTGTGAATAATTCAGTTTTAACTCTTCAATTTGGCGACGATATAATCTTCAATAACCGGTAATTGATGATTTAATAGAAAAGACCCATAAAATTCTAGTCAAATACGATACACCAAACTCTTCAAAACCCCAAGGCATAATTGTGTATTAACGGCAGATGGATAATATTGGATATCTGATCATAGTTTTCTATTAAGACCAAATTTACATTTTTCGACAAATCTCGTATTCGACTGCATTACTTTTTATCAAGAATAACTTTTTTCAAAACCAATAATAAAAAAGTATCCCATTATGGTGCCGAATTAATTAGACACACTGTGTAACCAGAAGCATTGTTACTGTATCAGAAGTAGTAGCATCTACTAATAGTAGAAGTAGATATTTTACAAAACCCTTATTTGATATGCTTGAAAACCAGAAAAGGGTAGTTATTGGGTGTTAAATTTTATAACACGTTGCCAGAAACAGCTAAAGGTATATTTTACAAAATCTATAAATATATTACACCCTGTATTTTTATTTATATATTATTATTATTTTATTTATATAAACCCATAATTCAAAAAATGATCGGCAAAATCAGTTCAGCCGTTCAACAAAAGTGTAGTGAAACGTATTTTGATACTTATGCATATAAAACTGTTTTATACTGTTTAATCACAAGAAATAAAAAAATACAGTTATGAAATCAGTGAACATCCCGTACATGCGACCTCCCGATGCACTTCCTCTGCTTCAGATTTTTTCCCAGGCGAAAACCGAGAGAGTCCTCTAGTAAGGTTTTCAACGGCAAACCAACAAAGAAAAAAAGGAGACACTGTACAAGTACCTACTACGCATCCGTTCCATCAATGAAACAATTCAAGCAAGGCCCCGATGTGGCGGGGGCGTCTCACAAGAATCGTTCGTCGTGGTTGAGTATGTTTTCGCCGACATGGATGGCTCCTTAGTCCAACTGCTGCTCACTCAGTAAACTTAGCGGTCGTGCTTTGCTTAGTTTGCCTGCGATTTGTAGAGCGCTTTTGAGTCCCAGACCGGTGGTGCTCCGATAATGCGGAACAGGTGTTTTGAGGATATTGTTAGTGCCGATGGTCGTTTTTCTGAAAGTCAAGTGAAACGGGCCTAAAAGGTAAGGCGAAAGCTTCAGTAACTTTTTACGTCCTGTGTTATTTTAAAATTTCCCAGTGTTTTAAATTTGAAATAAATAAATATAACTATTTAAATACAGGGTGATTCACAAATGGCGACCAAAAATGGAAACTTGTATTCTTTGGTGAATTTTAAGGGGAGTCTTCCCTATAAATTTTTTAATTAGGACGCTTCGTTAAAAAAAAAACAGGGTGTTAAACTTCAAAAATATTTTTAATTCTTTTTAAATCATTTAAAAACTACTAAATGATTTATGTAAACATTGTCCAAAATCTGAGGGCATACTCCAGTGGTGGAGTTACAGGTTAGTTTTAGGAAAAAAACTTGATTTTCGAGTAAAACTTAAAAAAACGATATTCGAATATAATGCTTTTCAAAATTACATGGTGGGCTGCGATAGCAACTTTGACATTCTGAGCGGTTAGAAGAAAGAATAAATAATGCTTTTCATCAGATTCAAGCAACAATAAATTTCGAACAAATTACATTTTCGTTACTAAAAATATGTCGAGCCTGTGTTTGTGGAAATGGAGGTATTTTTGAGCATTTACTCAAATAAAATCATTACAATGATGAGTAATATTATTAATTTCTTTATTCGAACAAATAACCGAATGATTAGTGCTTGTCATATAATTCAAGTAAAAATGTTTTCAGTTGTTTTTTTAAGTTTTATGCGAAAAATATGCTACCTATACCCTGTATCTCCGCCACTGGAGCATGTAAATTTTAGGAAAAGCCCTCAAACTTTGGAAATATTCACATAAATATATGTGCCAAATTTCAAATTGTTTCACTTACTAGTTTTCAAATTATTTAAAAAAATCAAAAATATTTTTTTGAAGCTGTATCTTTTTAACTCTTTTAAAATTCACCAAAGAATACGAGGTTTCATGTTTGATCACCATTTCTGGATCACCCTGTATAATAAACCCTAATATCGTAATCATTAATTAATTATCTAATCACCTAATTAATTAGCTGATTAATTATGTAATTATCGTTGATTAATATGATACAATTTAAAAAAAAAACAAATTTAACCTCTATGCAACGTGTATTGTCCTTACTTATATTTTCTAATAATGTTACTAAATATATTTCGACAACTTTGTGCAAATGTACCGTCATGATAAATTAACAAAAAGGTAAGACAACATTCAAATGCGTAGATGTTTGATTCTGATGTATTTTGACCTTTTTAATTGTGTTTGTTTTCGTAAAATGTGAAGGAGACTGAAAAATTGTACACTTACCTATGTTTCAACAGAAATATAACTACCTAATTAAAAGGTTGAAAAGAATATCTTCAAACGTAACTCCGACAAACAACAAACTCCGTTTGTTTGTTCTGATAGTTGTAGGCCATAATACATAACAAAATGTTGGTTTTTATTATGCTTTCGAACTGTTGACCTTTGTTCTCGTAAAAAACTTATGAAAATTAATAAGTCTTTTACATTCTTTAACTTTATTTCATTAATTAATTAATTATAAAGTTCAATGAAACGGTTTTAAAAGGTAAGGCAGATGATATTGTAATTTTTGTTCCTAGTATATTATTTTTAAATGTTTTATTGTTTTATGCTTTAAAGTGTTTTGAGTAACTGTCACTAATTCATTGTAAATCCAAATTTAATCAAGGTTAATTAATTTATTAATTATCTAATTTGTTAATTTACCGGATAATTAATTATGTACTTGATGTGACTAAATATAAAAATTAAAAAAAAAACAATTTAACTTCTTGGCTGCTTGTTGGAGGTAAATTTTTTTACATTCCTTTTTATCAGTATACTTATACATATTTTGAAACAATTATTCACCAAGTTTGTTTTGTATTTTTGTACAAAATTAATGAAAAATTTAAACAAACTCATGTTTCCGCAAAGCATGATTACTTGAGCGAGAGAGTGAGAGAGCGCGGGAGGGAGGGAGAGAGAAAAAGAGAGAGATTGTAAACAATCGTTTAAATAGTTATTTCATTATTAATGCAACTGGTCAAATCTGTAAACAAATCAATACTTCCTTTAAACTTTCATGTTTATTGTACAGTTTACTGCTACTTGCATTCATTAATTAAAAAATATGTTATGAATTTCAACTATGATTACGATCTAATAAAGTTACTATGTTCGTGAAGGTGTGGTAGAGTATAATATGCTAACCAGATAATTAAATTCGTGTTATCTATTAAAATTTGAGGTAGCTAATGTATGCATGCCTAACTTCAATGTGTATTTTTAGATCAAAACATGGTTATGTAATGATATCAAAGTAACAATTTTAAGCATTTGGGATTGGTCAGAAAGGGGAAGTAAAGCAAAAGAATCGTTACGTCACTTCTACTTCTTCAAGTGCTCACAACTGTATGCCCTTGAATCACAAATAACACATTGTCGTCGTTTGCGTAAAAACGCGTTCTGTCGTTGCGTAAAAATTCTGTCCCGCCACAGGAGATTGATGTTGAACCATAATTAACATTTACATATTTGTTTTTCAAGATAGAAAAAAGTAGATCTATCGACAATTCGTTCAGACCCCAACAAAATATTTTTTTAGAATCGCCCTATGATCAATCAAGATTTGATCTTGGTTTACCCAAATTACTTATAGCCATAAACTGATTGATATGCTGAAATAGCAGATTGAAGATGTATAATTAATTAGCAGGTAAATTGGTATCTCTGAAATATACAAATTTGTCCTGGACACAATTTCGTTCTGTTCTAATCTTGATTTATTCCTCTAACAACCTATAATTTGCGATGTTCAATCTCTGAAGAAGTAGAGAGTTATCTAGATCGTAGTCAGTGTCAATTATGACAAATTGCTGGTATATTATTAAATGAATAAATTAGGTACAGCAGAATATCTGCTGAAAAAAGATCGTCACAACATGCTACGAGCTTTTAGCTTCTGCAATATAGTTTCTACTTGCATAAAACATTGTCTGGGGATTATTAAATTAGATTTTGTGGTAAAACGTAAAAAGCAGAATGTTGTTTTGCGTTGCATGATGGGTATTGCACAGCTTATAAAAACTGGATTTGCC